TGCAACCAAAAATAAATAAATAAATAATGAATAAATCTTAAAAAAAAAAATTTCCTGCAAATAGAAGTCCAGTACTGGACAGATTCACTGGGGAAATCTACCAAACATACAAAGAATAACTTATTCCTATCCTTTTCAAACTATTCCAAAAAACTGAAGAGAATAGAACACTCTCTAATTCATTCTATAAGGCCACCATCACCCTGATACCAAAACCAAACAAATACACTAAAAAAAAAAGAAAGAAAGAAAAGAAAAGAAAATTACTGGCCAATATCTCTGACGAACATAGATGCAAAAATCCCCACCAAAATATTAGCAAATCAAATCCAACAATACATAAAAAGGATCATACACCATGATCAAGTTTGTTTTATTCCAGGGTCATGAGGATTGTTCAATATTCACAAACCAATCAATGTGATATACCACATTAACAAAAGAAAAAATAAAAATCACATCATAATCTCAATAGACACAGAAAAAGCATTTGGCAAAATTCAACATCCATTCATAATAAAAACTCTCATCAAAGTGGGTATAAGGAGCATATCTCAACGTAATAAAGGCCATTTACACCAAACACAGAGCCAATATAATACTCAACAGTGAAAAGTTGACAGACTTCCTGCTAAACTCAGGAGCAAGACAAGGATGTTCACTCTCAACACTTCTATTTAACATAGTATTGGAAGTCCTAACCTAACCACAGCAATAAGAAACTGGAAAGGAAGTGGTAAAACTGTCACTCTATGCAGATGACATGGTACTCTATGTAGAGAACCCTAAAGTTTCCACATAGAAACTATCAGAACTAATAAAAGAAGTCAGCAAGGTAGCAGAATACAAGATTAATATACATAAATCTGTTGTATTTCTTTACATTAACAATGAAGTGACAGAAAGAGAAAATAAAAGAAAAATCCTGTTTAAAATTGCATCAAAAATATAAAATACCTAGGGATAAACTTAACCAAAGAGGTGAAAGACCTTGCACTGAAAACTATAAAACATTGATAAATGAAACTAAAAGTGATTTAAAAATATATATATTCCATGCTCTTGGATTGGAAGAATTAATATTGTTAAAAATGGCCATACTACCCAAAGCAAACTACAGATTTCGTGCAATCTTTATCAAAATATCCATGACATTTTTCACAGAACTAGATCAATCCTAAAATTTATATGGAACCACAAAAAGCCCAGAATTGCCAAAGCAATTCTGCGGAAAAAGTACAAAGCTGGAGGTATAACCCTTACAGACTTCAGAAAAAGCTACAGTCATCAAAACAGTGTGGTACTTGCACACACTAAAAAAGGCACATAGATCAATGGAACAGGACAGAGAGCCCAGAAATAAACCCACAACTTATGGTCAATTAATCTACGAGAAAGGAGGCAAGAATGTACAATGGAGAAAAAATAGTCTCTTCAGCAAGGGGTGCTTGGAAAGCTGGACAGCTACATATAAATCAATGAAATTTGAACACTTCCTCACACCAGATACAAATATAAACTCAAAATGGTTTAAAGACTTAAATACAAGACTTGACACCATAAAACTCCCAGAACAGAACATAGGCAAAATATTCTCTGATATAAATCGTAGCAATATTATCTTAGATCAGTCTCCCAAGGCAAAAGAAATCCAAGCAAAAATAAACAAATGGCACTTAATCAAACTTAAAAGCTTTTACAGAGTAAAGGAAACCATCAACAAAATAAAAAGACAACCTACAAAATGGGAGAAAATGTTTGTAAATGATGCAACTGACAAGGGGTTAATATCCAATATATACAAGCAGCTCATATAACTCAATATCAAAAAAAAAAACCCAATCAAAACATGGGCAAAAACATAAATAGACATTTTTCCAAGGAAGACATACAGATAGCTAACAGGCACATGAAAAGATGCTCAACATTGCTAATTATTAGAGAAATGCAAGTCAAAACCACAATGAGTTATCACCTCACACTGGTTAGAATGGTTATCATCAAAATGTCTACAAATAATATATGCTGGAGGGGATGTGGAGGAAAGGGAACCCTTGTATGTTGTTGGAAGGAATGTAAATTGGTGCAGCCATTATGGAAAATAGTATGGAGGTTCTTCAAAAAACTAAAAATAGAGCTACCCATATGAGCCAACAATCCCACTCCTGGGTATATATCCAGAAAAAAATGAAAACTCTAATTTGAAAAGATACATGCGATGCGCCGCAATGTTCACAGCAGCACTATTTACAATAGCCAAAACATGGAAACAACCTAAATGTCCACCAACAGATGAATCGATAAAGAAGATGTGGTATATAAATACAATGGAATATTACTCATCCATAAAAAAGAATGAAATATTGTCATTTGAAGCAACATGGATGGACCTAGAGAATATTATACTTAGTGAAGTAAGTCAGACAGAGAAAGAAATACTATATGATATCACTTATATGTGAAATCTAAAAAATAATCTATATACAAAACAGAAACAGACTTATAAAAAGCAAATATATGGTTACCAAGGGGGAGGGAGGTGGGGAGGGACAAATTACATGTATTGGATTAACAGATATAAACTACTATACATAAAATAGATAAGCAACAAGGATTTACTGTATCAAACAGTGAATTATATTCAGTATCTTGTAATAACCTATACTGGAATATAATATGAAAAAAAATAACTGAATCACTACACTGTACACCTGAAACTAACAAAACATTATAAGTTAACTATACATCAATAAAAAATACTTAAAGAGTACAGAAAGCAAAAATTGTAACATTGTATTTAGATGTAATACATAGGATAACTGTTGCATGAAGGACAATGGGTGAAGATAAATAAATATATGTGGTAGTGAAATTTCTACATTTTATGTAAAGTGTTACAATTAACCCTAATAGAATATGGAAAGTTAAGGAAGTACAATATATTGTAATCCCTAGAGCAACAGATTAAAAAGATTATGTGAAGATAAATTGCCTATATGTAAATTCAAATGGAATCATAATAAAAACTTTCAAATAATCCAAAAGAAGGCAAAAAGGGGAGATAAAAGGAACAAAAAATGATAGGACCAACAAAAAAATTAATAAACTGGTATACCTAAATCCAATCCCATCAGTAATTATATTTAATATTAACAGACTAAACACTCCAACTAAATTATGTAAGACTGAATAAAAAAGCAAGACCGAACTATATGTTCTCTACAGGAGACATGATAGATACCTAACAATAAAACCTTAAAATACATGAAACAAAAAAGTACAGAATTAAAGTGAAAAGTAGACAATTCTATAATCATTAAATTTTAATACCACTGTCTCAGAAATTGATTCCTAGTCAAACACCAGTTAAATCACAGAATATCTGATAAACGATATCAGCCACATTTAGCTATTTGGTTTTTAGAGTATAAAAACAAAAATAAATAGAAGTACAAGGAAAATATTCATAACAGATATTTTAACTTACTTCTCTAAGAACTGAAAAATCAACCAATAATATAAAACAGTGAAGATTTAAATAGTACAAAGTAAAAATGAGAATTTCAAATTTGACTCAGATCATATATGTGTGTGTGTGTGTATGTGTGTGTGTATCTCACATCTATATAATGGATATTACTCAGCCATGTAAAAGCCATGTAAAAGAATGAAATTCTGCCATTTGCAACAACAGGGATGGCAGAATAGCATAGAGTACTATGCTAAGTTAAATAATTCAAAGAAAGACAAATACTCTATGTTATCGCTTATACGTGGAACCAAAAAATAAAACAAAAACAAAGCAGAAACAGACTCACAGATATAGAGAACAAACTAATGGTTACCAGAGTGGAGACGGAAGTGGGGAGGGGCAAATTAGGGGTATGAGATTAAGAGATACATATACATTTATTTATATGTATAAAATAAATAAGCAATAAGGAATATTGTACAGCACAGGGGATTATAGCCATTATTTTGTAAAAACTTTAACTGGAGTGTAATCTATAAAAATATTGAAAAACTATGTTGTACACCTGAAACTGATATAAATAATATATCAACTGTACTTCTATTTAAATAAATAAAGCATCTCTAAGTAATTTTTCAAATGTAAGGTAATCGCTAAGTAAACTGCTAAGGTAAATGTTGCAATAATTTAATCTTTTGTGGTGGAACGTGCAACTGTGGTAGAAAAAATGGCAAACCAACCCAAGCTGGAATAGTTCCATCTTTTGACTTCACCCACTATAAAAACATACCACTATTTTCTCAATGTGAAACTATAATAAACACTCAGAAACTATGAAATAGAATGTATTTGATTAACCTCTAGGTTTTGACCTCTTTATTCTTACAACCAACCAATGGTATGAGATAAACACGAAACTCAGATCATCACCAATATTATGAAAAATAATATGGCCTCTGAATAAAAGATATTCATACATTTGAAATTTTTATTCTGCCTAGTTAGATCCAACATAAATCCTAAATATCTCCTTTCAATGAGGAATATAATAAGATAAATACAACCTACGATAAAAACTATGTAGTCATAATTTAGTGGAATCAAATGGCAGAAATGGAAATAAATGGGAGAATTTAGAAAACAACAGACTCTAAAGCAGTATAGAAATTAGGTCCAAGAGTCAGATCTATAAAGTGCCATTCTCTCACTAGCTCCTTACCCCTTAAAATTCGTCAAATATCCTATATTACCTCCTCTGCTTCAGGTACATCAACCATCAGTTATTCAATTTTTGGTATCAAAATTGAATAGGTATCACTTACAATGTAGCAAAGTTGATAGATAGGAGGAAGGGAAATATAGAAGCTTTGGGTCATAATGTAGGGATCTGAAGGAGGTATAAAGGGGTATTTAGAATCAGAAGCTATGTCCTATTACCTCTTTCTAGTGATAATGATACCAACTTTCCTACTTCAAGTAACGGCACTGAACCTCCAGAGTTGATTTCTTTTGAAAGCATACATCTTACCATGTGGAATTGTGGTCTGGAAAGGACGACTTGGGCTTTTCAGGTTCCATAAAGTCAAGCTACCATCTGAATGGCTGCACATGAATTGTTTGCCCTCATGATGCCAATCAATTGAATGAATAGCCTAATGAAATAACAATTAAAAACAAGTAGAGGAGGGGAAAAGTTGATATATCATTCTATATTCCAAAGGAAAAATATTTTAACACAGAATTATTATAGCAATAACACTTAAGAAACATATGTAATTTTTCTGACCTAGGTCATACTACCTTTGGTTTCAACCTTCTATAAGCTTATAAAAGGCTACAAAAACCCACCTCCTAAGATAAAGAAAAGTTAAGTAAATTTCACAGTATCGTTAGATCCCAGAACTTTTTGTTGTAAATCCTAGGTCCTCCCAGTACCCTTTAATGCTTCTTTGAAAACTATTACACAGAAGTAAAAGCAAGGTTATCAGAAAATAATCTCTGGTGAGGCAGAAGCCTAGTTCCACTTAAAATAGCCAACTTAAAAGGTAGTTTACATAAGAGTTGCAATTTGAGGGCTTACTACATGCCAGACCCCAGGGTAAGCAGTTTATGTACATTATCTCATTTAATCCTACAAAACAGATATTATGTTTTTCCAAATTACACGTGGTGAAATAGGCCTAGAAAGATTGAGATACTTGCTCAGGTTACAACACTCAAAGCCAGCGTCTGACTACAAAACCCATATTTGGAATCACTGGACTATATTAACTCTAACATATACTATTTAATTTGACTTAAAGCAAGAAGAGTTTAAAATTTTTGTATTTACAGATTCATTCTGTAGATGTGAATTAAATAAAATTAAAAAGTAATCATTACATTTTCCTAATTTGTTTTATTCCCAGTGGTTGCACAGTGTCTTGCATAAAGTAGGTACTCAAAAAATCTGTTAAATGAATAAGTAATTAATGTTATCAAATATTTCCACACTCTTGGGATTCTTTCAAAATTAATAAAGTATATATGGAACTTGGGTAATGTGCTAATAAGCAGAATGAAAGAAACTCTAGTAGGCATAAAAGTTGAACAGATGTATATACAGCATGATCCTTTCCTTAAAAGAACTTAAACAACTGTGAGATAGGAAACATTTATACCAATATTAATACTACTTATCGTTTGGAACTTTTAACATTTAGTTTTTTAATCTATATTTATAAAACTAAGTTATGTATATATTTATTTTATACCAAACTTATACATATATACACACACACACACACATATTTCCAAACAATAAGTATTGTTAGAGTTATAAATAAATGATGACTAGAGCAATCATTAGACATATCAGAAATGAAACAGTATATGAGTGGACCTCAAGATAAGTAAGATTTGGTTAATTGCAAAAGATACCATGACACACTGGACTTATGTTTTCTCTCACCCTGGTCTTTATTACTGGGCAGAGAAGACTTCTTTATTGCCAGGGTTCAGTAGAGGCAGTGAGAGGGAAAAAACGCTCTTCTTTGTCTTCTCCTCTGTGTATTTCTTCTCATTTTTTATGTGACTAAAGGGAAATGTCACTTCTTGCCTCCTCTACATGTTAACCTGGATGAACCTCAGTCAATTTAAAATTCTCTCAGACTACTTTGCTATAAATGGTAGGCGCAGAGCCCCAGCCCTAACCTTTCTTTCTATCCCACTGCATTTCTGTCTACTGGAGAAGACAGATATAAAAATGATATATATAACATAAAACCAAGATAAGTACTATAAAAGAAGTACATTTATTGTACAGAAGAGTAGGCATGTAAAACCAACTTGTTATTAAAGAATAGGATGTCAAATAGTCCATCATTGAAGAGATTGAACAGTTGGAATTTGAACTGACTTAGTGGGTAAAAGTTCCATTTCTATTTATTTGATTATACCCCACTCTTTTCTTTAAAAAGGACCTTAAGCATTTGCTGAAAAACCAAATATAATACAATTAATTAAAGAAAAAAAATTTAATGAAGAACAATATGGAAAATAAACTCAGTGGCTGTGACTGAATTTCTTGTAAACGAAAAAGACAAAGGAAACCCAAAAAGCTAGGTAACAATCTGAAAAAAGGAAAAACAGCAGTTAGTAAGGAATTAAAAAGTTATCCTCATGTCAGACTCTGAGAGATTTCTCTGTGAGAGATTATTTAAGAAATATTGATGTAATGAAACAAAAATTTCACAGCTAATGTGGAAGTAAAATTCATATGGTTATTTCTGAAAATGATCTTGGATTTCCAAAACAAAACTCTGAATTCATCAGTGGTTATTTATCAAGTGGCTAGTTAGTCCAAATAGCTTTACAGCAGCTAAATAATTAATAGAATTTTGATATGCATAAGAGGAAAGAAGAGAGTTCATGATAAGGTATTAGCAGAAGCAAAGGCCTGGAGGTAGGAAGTAAATGGTATGTTTAGGAGACAGTGAGTAACATGTCTGAAGTGTAGAAGTGTGTAGAAGGATGCAGTAAATTAAATTCAAGAGAAAAAGCACCAGGGCCTTAAACCTCCTGTCAAGGAATAAGACTTTGTACTGTTGACAACTGGGAACCATTCAAAGGTTTTGAGGTAGAGAATTACCTGATCTTCTATGTCTTAAAATGATATTCTTGTTAGTGAAAGATATATTGAAAGGTAAGATATCTGAGGAAATATGATTAGTTAAAAGGCTATTATAAGTCTTCCAGGCAAAAGATAACATCCTCAACTAGGACGCTGAATGTGGGAATGAAAAAGGAGAAGAAATAAATGAGAGACAATATAAAAATTGGATCAAGAAGACTACAAAAGTGATTGCATATGATATATGAAGAAGAAAAAAGGGTCAAATATGACTCTGAGGATTATAAATTAAAATAACTAAATCAAAATTGAAAAACCTTTAAATATTCAGACGTTTAAATACAAATTCAGTGCCAATGGAATATTCATCTGGACTTATAATTAGATATTTGGATCTAGATCTCAGGAGAGAGATAAGAGTTAAAGATATATGAATTTTTAATTTATCAGCATAATATAGGTAATATTTAAAATGGTGGGAGGGGATATGAACATAAATGTAAACTGAAGGAGAAATGAAGAGAGGGTGAAGACGTAGAATCCTGAAAAGTATCTATAATGTAAAGTAGAGTTAAGGAAAGAACCAGTGATGGAAAAAGGAGGGGTGAAAAATGAGGTGGAAAAACACAAACAAGGGAAGAAACCATTTTAAGAAGGAAGGACTGATGTAAAGTCACAGGTTTAGTGAGAAACTTAAAAGACTAAGGAAGGGGTCACTGATCAATGGTGACTTATGAGAAACCATTCCAGGAAAGATGATTTCAAAATATGAGACCTAAAGTGATGAGGAAAGTTTGAAAAGTTTGGTAGTAACATGAAGTATACAACTATCTTTATTAAAATGATAGGACATATAATTATACATTAAAGTAAATCAATTTTATATATATTCATATAATTCTACTTAAGTGTAGTATTCTACTGACTTAAACATTGTTAATCTTTATTTAAACATTTCATTGCAAAATTACTTTCACTTACTTTTTAAAGTTAGAAACCTGCCTGCCACACTTTTTAAGGCCACAGGAAAACTAGCTGATTGAGCATTCTCATCTGGATTTCCATTTCAGCTGCTCCACTCTATTTCCAACTGGCTAAATACACAGATGGTATTTGGACTCTTATCTAACTGCTAGTTTTTTGGGTTTTTTTTTTGCGGTACGCGGGCCTCTCACTGTTGTGGCCTCTCCCATTGTGGAGCACAGGCTCCGGACACGCAAGCTCAGTGGCCATGGCTCACGGGCCTAGCCGCTCTGCAGCATGTGGGATCTTCCCGGACCAGGGCACCCGGTTAGGAAGCTCTAACTGCTAGTCTTAAGAGAGGAAGTGATCTTCATACTCATCTTTGTATTTTATGTATTTAACAAAAGGAAAACCCTAGCTTAGCTCTCTAGGACCTTCTTGCCTTATGATTCAAGGTGCCTCGTAAATTGATCATAAAGAGCATAATTGTATGACATTGCTTGCCAGAGTATTGTTCACTAATCATGACCAAATTACCCAGCTGTTATATCATTTACTTCTGAATTCTTTGTTACCATGACAATAATCTTGTATATATCATAAAATCTTAGTTTTCCAGAACCACTAAGAAATGAATGGGGGGTGGGGGTTATGGGATAGCCGAAGGCTTGTACCTTTAAGCACCAAAATTTAAATTTTACTTTTATAAGGGGATGGAAGAGGGCACAAAAAGAAACTGTTCTAAAAAAATGTGTTTTCCTTTCAAATTTATTTCTCTATCTTAGTGTTGTCTTAAATTCTTTGGCACTCTTCCCATTTAAGCCTGGGTAATTTTAAACAGTGATTTTTGACCTGTATTTTCCTATCTCTCATCACTGTAACAATTTTTAATTTAATTGAGAGCCTTGATGATCACCTTTATTTCCACAGCTACAAGATATAATTTCCCTTTCTCACCTTTTGCCCCTAGCCTCACTCTTTTCACATTAGCTTCTTCTTAAGAAGGAAATAATAGCCTAGAATCAATCTTCGAACAACTGAAGTAACAATTAAGAGACTGTTCGTTGATAAGAGTTCATTGCTTTCTGTACATGAAAATCTAAAATCTCAATTCTGTACGATAAAATGTACTTCAAGATCTGACTTTTATTATTAAGTATTACTATTTTTAAAATCTCTCTTTACTGTAAGAAGGCAAGTATTAGAAGATAAGGCCTTTCAAACTGACTACTTAAACTTTCTGCCACAGAAAAACAATTTTCTAAAGATGTGAATAGTATCTTTAGAGACCTTAAGGACAAAAAGGTTAAGAAATAAGCATAGGGCTTCCCTGGTGGCGCAGTGGTTGACAGTCTGCCTGCTGACGCAGGGGACACCGGTTCATGCCCCGGTCCGGGAGGATCCCACATGCCGCGGAGCGGCTGGGCCCGTGAGCCATGGCCGCTGAGCCTGCGCGTCCGGAGCCTGTGCTCCGCAACGGGAGAAGACACAACAGTGAGAGGACCGCGTACCGCAAAAAAAAAAAAAAAAAAAAAAAAAAAAAAAAAAAAAAAAAA